GCGTTCAAAACATACCCAGTGATAATGCCCGTTGTATCTGCAACCAACCGTGAGTCCACGGACATTCATGCGGAAGGACGTTACTCACTTCTCCCCTTGCGCTTGGAAGGTGGCCACGTCTCAGCTTTATATATACGTAAGCATGGCAAGCATGACGTACTTCCGATCATCGCAGCGCTATTGAGCCCATACGGCTGGAAACAGCTTATAAAAATGGAATCAACGTCGTGAAAAGCCCGGACTCTTACCACGTTGTAAGTAGCGATTGCACCGACTTCGGCCTTAGTCCTGAGAATTTTGACAGTTTCGTGCGGGCCGACGCTAAGTATGGGATGTGAGTAGGAGATAGCAGACAGATCATAAACAGCCCACGTGATTGTAAATTTGCGCGTAGTGGTAGTTATTTGCTCCACCACTTCCTCACTGGTTGATTCCGTGCTGATTTGGATAGAAAATCCACTTTCAGCAACGCTCCCGATGGTAATTTTCTGGGAAAGCTCGATAGCGGCCGAGTTCTTGATGCTCAACGTGGATCTGGTGCCGACTTTGACCTCTTCTGTCCATTCTTCGGAAAGTGACTGGCTGTTCAGGCTGTTGTCGTACTCGACAGCGACCGAGGTGTCTTCAACGTTCTGGGGAACACTTCCCACCTTGACCGGATCGCCCAGCATGGAGTTATAGGAGTACCATCTGCGGATTTTATGAGGCAACCAACACCATTACACGACCCAGTACGTACCCGTATTGGTCAACAAAGGAATCGTTGAGGTGCAAATGAGACTCGTTCGCCATAGTGCCCCCTCTCTTGGCGTTACACAGCAGGAAAATGGCGCGCTTGGTGTGGCCCATTTTGGCGAGGTCTTCGAACGATGTTTTGACAGACATTGTGATCGTTTAGCAGTCACAGGGATGTTGGAAAGTTGGGGGGATGGTGGATCGCAGACGCTGTTGGGGGCTCTTTTATATATCATCCTACAGGGTTCATATCCATGAAGCGCAAGAACATGGCTGCATGCTATCACGGGGTTCTGTTACGTTATTGGTGGTCGTTCTAAGTATGCTGTTGGATATAGCGTGCTCCGGCGACTCTTGGTCATATTGCGGGTACCAGTACGAGTATTCTGGAAGTCTGGTGCCAAATCAGCCTCAGGCCTTTGGGAGATCTTTGCAGCTAGCAAAATTCAGCAATCAGATGGCTGAGCTGGGATCGTCGCGACCCTTGACACAGAGTTCTATGAAGCTCCAAGCTCCAATGATGCTGTAAACAGGACCAGAACCTGGCGTGCAAGTTATACATCGCACATTCACCTGCTACAGCTATCGTGTACACACCATCGCAGACTCGGCATCGAGACCCTCGACGAAGCCATTTCCCCTTGCGATACTTACATCTCATCATTGACGGTCTTCCGGGGCTCCTTCAGGTTGTTCCATTCCTCGTCTCCGGGTTTGAATTTCAGAGTACCGAATGCGACCACTGGTACCCATCTTGCAAGGAACCGATCGAATAATTAAGGTTAAAGGACTTCATTCGAATGTACTTCTTTTAACGCCAACGCGGCACTCGGTTCGATGCGTTCGAACTTCGAAGGTAGGCAGGCACATTCACTCTTGGTCCAGCGTAGGGGAATTGCGATATTGGATTTATTTCATACCACGCACTCGGAAGACGCGTTCGAGCTTCGCAGTCACACAAGAATGGTCTTGCTCCAGCTTTGGAGGTCTATCGGACTGCGGACATCTGCCGTAACTGGCCTAATAAGTTCGATTTCTTCCTATAGCAGTCGCCGCTGACCCCATGATGACCCTACAGCGTGATATCTGGGGTAATGCGGAATCGCTTCATTTTACGCTGTTACTCATGTCCTACCTAGAATTGCCATTGACCTGGCTTTCACGTTATAGGCATGGAGCGGACGTACGTCCTGCAACAATCAAATTTCCATTTCAACATCAGTACGTAAGGGAGGGGGAGGGCATTTACAGAAATCGTGAGCGCGCGGGGCGGGTCATTATATGACCTGATGAGTCCCGGGCCAGGGGTGGGGATGGGGCCTGGCTCGCAGGTGTCCGGCGGGGGTCCATGATGGGTGTCCCCCATTAGTCCCATGTTGTGGATGTGCAGCCTGCTGTTGTATGCTGCATGGGCTTGTCGTGCCTCCTGCCTGGCGCGTGTGAGCTGCTTGTCAGGCTGCTGAGTAGTGTGGCTTTGAGCCACTGCATCTTCTGCATTCCTTGCTAGCAGCTTTTGTGTGATTCATCTCTGAATTGCATGTCTTGTGCCCTGGGAGTGGGTGGTCACTGTAGAAAACTCCGACATTAGATTTCAGTACCTTTTACACAAACGGCAATAATCAGTACCTTTGAGCACTGATTTTCAGATACTAAGAAACATGCAGGTATGTGAAAAAAAAAACAAAGAAACATGATCGCCCCCTTCACTCCGCCGAGCGCATGTTAGACCATTAGGCGTACAGAGCAATTTACTCTTGTTATCGAACCGAGGCCGCCAAGTAATTAGCGCCGCCGCCACTATAGCATGAAATAATTGCTCACCAACATCGTGGCGGCCATTGCAATGTACCTTGTACGCGCGTCCGAATTTTTCCCCCAAGTAATTTGAATCTCCGACCCGCTTGAATTCTAACTCGTCTCTTCCCACCATGACCACGGCCAACAGAAAACAAACTATAATGCTTTCCCTCATCCATTTTTTGATCGTGCCCAGTTATGATGGAGCGTACTAGCAGGAAAATGGGGAGTATGTGCACAATCGTGATGTTATCGCGGGGTTGGGTAAAATCACGGTGGTTTAGAGGGTGCCTCCTGGTAAGCTACTCTTTCATTGAAAATACCATGCATATACTCAATATATTATTGCTACGTGCCCCTCTGCTGCTCTCGCTCTTGCACTCTGGCTCTTGCTCTCGCACCATCTCCCCTCGCCTGCTCATTCTCACAATAGACCGCTCCCGCCCTCGCTCTCGCCATATGTCCCCTCGGCTGCCCTCGCTCTTACAATAGACCACTTCTGCTCCCACTCATATGGAGGTTGCGAGAGGTGAGTGTGGGGGCTGGGCTGTCGCAAGTATTGGGAACCATGTTGCATGCCTTATATGCCTACCTTCCTCATCGCTCACATGCTCACATTCCGATCCTTCCAGCATACGCAGTCCTATCAGACCCCCAGGTGCGCCGATGAACATCTCTACTATTCCTTAACTCAACCTGACCACTGTATTTCTTTTTTTGTACAGAAACGTGGCCTTTATGATCGACATGGGGAGGTACGTGTTGCAATTCGCCCTTGTCATTGTTCTTTGAGCTCCCTTTATTTTACTTCGTCACTTATCATTTTATACTTGCCCGGACGTGAGCTGACAAATATTACCCTTCCCCCTCATCCAGGAAGGCCTGACACAACATGAAGGCGGTCAGCACCCCAATCCCTTTGATATGTTTTCGTCCTTCTTCGGTGGCAGCGGACGTGAGTCATTTCATTGTGAATTTATCGTTCTGCACGCTCAAAATGATACTTTGCCGTATAATACTCCTCGTACTCATGTGCCATATCATCCACGACACTTGTGATCCTGTGACACTGCAGCCCAACAACAGGAGGTCTGCCGCGGGCCCATGATGACAAGCGACTTTGAGGTGAACCTCGAGGATATGTACAAGGGTGTCGAGATCGATATAGGTTCCAAACATCGTCTTTGCGTGATTTCTGCACTGACAATTATGCTTTCGAAGCCCATTCCGATCCTGCCTTTGGCTTTCATCTCCATTTCTCATGATCCTGTGACTCGGTATCCAGTTCATGATTAACAAAAAGGTCCTCTGTGACCACTTCCGCGGCTCCGGAGGACTCGCACATCCAGACGTGTTCCACGTGCTCGTTCCGCACATGCAGCACTACACGCTCAATGTCCCCGTGGGCATTGCCAAGGGCAGTAAGTTCGTGTTTGAAGGCGAGGGCGACGAGAGCCCGGACTCGGAGGCATTGGGGTTGAGGAGGTGTGTAGGGCGACGTTGGATGGGTTGGGACATAGCTTTCATTCTGTCTTTCAGTAATAGAAAGCACTGTTATATTGTGTTCTAAAGTACCATTTATAAGTAACTTCAGAACTGAAAATCAGTGTTCTAGGGCACTGAAAGCGGACATTCTAGCTACTAGATTTCGGTACCAAGCTTATCGAGAGGAAGCGTCAAAAATCTGCTCCCTGGATACTTATTATCAGTAACTTGGGCACTGAAAAATTGGTGCATAATGTACTTATATTAAGTGCCCCGAGTTACTGCAGTGTGGTGGTGGCATGCATCGTCCATATTTCATTTCTCAGTTCGATTTCTTGAACTTCAGCTCAGATGCTCTCGAGTACCGCTGTGCTACTAGTGTTGTCGTTCAGCCTCAGCTTCTTGCATGTCGTGGTCTAGGCCCTGCTGCTCGCTGATTACAGTAATCGCTGGCTCACTCGCCCCGCACATACTAACTTTACAGTCTAGCTTGTTTGCACCTTTTTTGTCTCCCCTCCCCCCTCTCTCTTCGTTCACATCCCCGTGCGGCACGAATGCTTTTTCCCCTAGGGGTTTTTTAATGCCTCGTGTCAGCGTCAGGTACCCAGTTACACATGCTTTTCCCATTTTCTTTTGCATACACATACTTTACCGCGTACTTTCCGCCGTTTCTTTCTGCTCGCATTTTTCCATTTTTTTTTTTTCTGTACTTTAGTGTACGGCGTTCAATAAAGTTTTTCTTGCATGGCGGCCTCACTCGCCGCCGACACCACCCTTTATCTGCTGCTCTAAGCCTTGCTTCACTCAAGGAATTCGGTGAACATAAGTAATACTTATTCCCACGTGATTCCCACTATTTTTACACAAAAAAGCTATATACCTTGTTCACCTGGCAGTCAGCACCTGGTTCAGCCTTGTACATGGTCCTATCTAAACATCAACTTTGCGAGACATGACACCAAATATGAAAATAAAATGATTTATGCTCCCTGCAAGGATCGAACTTGCGACCTTAGGATCTATCTGCTGACACAGCAGTCATAACATGGTATGAGACCTACGCACTACCAACTGTGCCAAGGAAGCGACAACAATCTATTTTAGTAAATACAATGCTTGGAACTCTATAGAGAGAGTTTTCACGTGATTTAATGCATATTACCTCTGCATGGGGTAGCCGATAGACTCGAACCCAGTCTCGCTATGATAACGATTAGAAGATAGTCGTTCTAATGACTATAAAAAGTAAAACGATTATAGAGACTGGTTCTAGTCTAGGTAGCCAAGGCCACCACTCGAAAACACCCAGTCACTACCACGACATGCATGCGCCCGAAATACCACACTTACAGCGCATTCTCCAGTATGCGTCTTCATCACAAGGTATCGAATTAGACCCTGGTCGAGCCGAGCTGCCAAACCCTCTTATTTTGATATGGTGCCCAGAAAGAGAATCGAAGTCGAGGGTGAGTTCATCAACACATGGGTCAGGCCGTCCGTCCAGGAATGCTGTCCGTCACGGGGTGGAATCCCTGCCACCAAGCAGTGGGGGTGTATTCGCGGAATTCACCTGTCTTTGACCGTCAAGCCATGTCAAGTTCTCATTCATCCCGACCTCTTTGAATGTCCTGAGGTACCATGTTATCGATGGAGGTCCCAGCGTCTGCGATGCTGTTTCTACGCTCTACCGCACATGTAGAAGTCATGGATGAAGGCTGAAGAACCTTACTCGATCACCTGGCAGATCCAGTTTGATTTTTAGGAGCGGCGATGTCATCGTCCCACCCAGGATTGACATCTGTGTTGATAGAGCAGGAGAGCGACAGTAGAATGCATTATACGTCTGTAACAGCGCAAGGAAGGCTCGTGCAATGCACGGTACCCAAGTCAGCAATGTATAAACCCCACGGGCTCGACACTTACGTTATGCAGTCCACAGAGTGGGTCAAGCAACGGCGTGCCTAGCAGACATAGTGGAGATGAAATGCGGGCAGTGTACCGGTATGCCACGAGCATGACGATGGTTCACATAATGAGACGTTTATGAGCTACATACAGGTTATGTTATCAATGTCCCTTCCCCGTCAATAACTCATCAGTTGTTCTGCGAACGGCTGAGAGGAACATATCGAGAACATATCGAGACGGGGACGTACACTGTAACCAACCGGTGACGTATGAGGAGATATCTGCATGGGCGTGACACAAAGTGAGTGCGTCTGCTATAGTCTGTATCGCAGAAAGAAATACATACCAAGCGTCAGTCTTGGAGTCAAAACAAGGACACCTCGCCACGGATTCACTTTAATAACTTCTTCGTCTGTAACCAGCCACAAGTCACTGCACTCTCTATACCTAAGGTACAGAGAGTGCAGTGACTTGTGGCTATGATCCAGGCTGATGGCGAGGAGAGAAGTAGCCAACGATGGTGGACTAGGAGAATTGTGCTGTTACAAACCCATCTTAATCTCCTGGGTAAACCGCGTCTGATCCTTATCTCTGGTACTACCTCCGGGCTTGAAAGTGGTCGCTTTTCGTCCCAGTATTGTCACTTCGCCCGGGTTTATCTTTGTAACGGAACCAGGGTGGATGTTGGACTCGGTTCCGGGGTGGGGCGTTACTGGTAAACAAGCAAAGGTAGAAGGCGTAATTGAAATCGAATAAATCGCACGGGGCCATATCTAATGGGAGTACTGGCCCACATGTCTGATGCGAGCACGCGCAAGTCCATCACGATTTGATTCTGTCTGGACCTACAGTGAACGGTCGGTCCGTTGGAGAGCATTGACACGTGGGACATCCTGCTTCAAGTAATGGCCGAGTCTAACGCTCTCTGCATTCCCCGATGAGGGAGAAAGAGGGTCCGATAAGGAAACATATATACTTAGACAACGGAATGGTTGCCACGACTTTGCCTCACTTCCAATGCAGTCATCATACCGTGAATATTCGTCAATCCTCGTTAAAGCATAATTGACTCACGTACACGAGGCGATAGTTACGTGCCCCAGCTAAATGATAGAAACCATGCCTGATGATTACCAACTGAGCGGGGATGTCAAACAGAATTTCCGCCTAGGTGGCGCATAACGAAACGGACAGGAATATTTTACATAAATACAAAGACGTCTAATGGATTTTCAACGTTAAAGTACGCTCAACAGAGCCACGGACGAAAAACATCCATATGCTGAGCACTCGTCGACGGGTTGGTCGCAATCTTGTGATGGTTCTAAAAGAATATACATCTATGATCAACAATAAGCTCACGACTTCCTTTCACTGCAGTTTAACTTTAGCTCAGGCAAAGGAAAGGGCAGTTCGGGCCGTCGGCACGTCACTAGTGTGTAATTGTTTTTTTGTGGAGCAGGGTCTCAGGCCGGCGGCCCGTGCTCCACTTAGTTAGAACTTTCACCCAATGCTGTGACCGCCTATTATCTGCAACATCGATTCGAATATTTCTTCTCCACAACCCCCATGTCCTGCGTGATGCACGTCTACTTCACATTTTAAACCAGCAATACGCCAGAACTCATGATTCCTGTCAGGCATGTATGGTACCAGTCGCAGCACGAAGTTGTAGTCGACATATTGATCAAGCGTATTCGGGCGAAAGACCTTGTCTCCGATGTCCAACCACAGGCTGTGCGTGGCAACCAGCTAATTTTCATTCTTCTTACTCAACCGTTGTCATTCCATTCCACAGCTCGCGGTTGATTTCCGTATGCCTGAAGGGACCAAGACATCCTTCAAACTCGACCATTTGAAACACGAAATCCTCCCAACGAAGTCCACAGTCTCCGTCCTCCCCACACGCATAGAGATTAGGTTGCGGAAAAAGGAACCGGGCATTAAGTGGACAAGCATCGAAGCAAAGGACGAACTTGCCGCTGAGAAGGCTAAAGCAGCACAGGAAGCTTATATTGAGGAACTGAATGGTTCGTCGCTCGTGAATTCATCTGATGACAGCCAGTCAAGGAGATCCTTCATGTATAGAAAGCGCATGCGTGAATCCAGTCGGAATCCAGCTGATGAGCGACCTGCACTTGGAATTCCACTTACGACCCGTAACTGGCCATTCTGGCCCTGGATACCAAGTCTTCGACTTCCCCGCCGCCGCCTCCAATCTTGCGCTGCTTGGCAATATCGGTCTTACCACACAACCAGGTCTCTTTGATTTTTTTCATCGACAGCTGCTGCGCTTCGAGCGCATATTTTTTGTCCTGGGAAATCACGAGGGGTATAATAGCACATATGCAAGTCCACTCCACTTGTTTCACCACTTACTGATTATGACCAGCAAGCTAGGATGCCGCGCGAGAAAAGGTTAATGAGTTCATACGTTGGGCGGATAAGAAGAGGGCAGCTGGCGAACGGCTAGGGTTATTCATCTTCATGGATCGTACGCGATACGACGTCACCGATCGGGTAACAATCCTTGGGTGCACACTATGGTCATATGTGCCATCTTCGCACGCTGCCGAAGTAATGCGGGCAGGCCTGAATGATTTTCGGCGTGTGGACGATTGGACGCCAGAGGACTATAGGGCGGCCCATCTCTCGGACGTGGAATGGCTAAATGATACATGTCGAAGCCTGCGGGAAAACGAGCCCGACAGGGAGGTGGTAATATTTACCCATCATGGTCCAACAACGAAGGGCACACTGAAACCGGAGCATGAAAACACGGAGCTCAGCTGTGCGTTTGTAACAGAAATGAGCTTACAACCGTGTTGGACACGGCCCCTCAAGCTATGGGCGTTTGGTCACACACACAAGTGCGTGGACTTCTTGAAAGATGGGGTACGAGTGGTGAGCAACCAGAGAGGGTACGAGGGTTTTGAGGCGGCCAAGAGTGAGTTCCAACCGCAGAAGGTGGTAACAGTGTAAGACCAAGGAAGAAGTCATGAGGCATCCGTACGTAGGTTAACGGAGAGTCGTCGGCATACCAGTCATGTATATTCGATACCATGCCATAATTTTACTGTTCTGTGATTTTTCTGCCATCCGAGTCTGCCGCACGGACCCCCGTCGGAGCTCGAAAACATCCTTGAACCTCAACCACTTGCCTTCTACCACAACTTCCAATATTTCGCCCCTTTATCCCTCTGCGCTCTTCCCCTGTGCAAGCAGAGGATTCATGCTTCGATCTCCCCACGTATCAGCAAGAAACGATCGACAATTTTCGTTCAGTAGAAATCCACCTTTGCGCGCTGTGAGTTGTAATCACATCCATCTTGAGTGTATAGGCGAGCTGATGGCGGCGAATAGCCCTAAACAGTTTGAATACCGCCCAATATGGCTTCTGGACCCATTGTGAACATCCGTCGCGACGTTGATGTAAGTTGTTGTGGCATTCGTCTCTCCTACAGAGTACCTGACCTTTTCGCCATCCCACCAGGACAAGTTCTACCGCTATAAGTTCGCCACGTTCCTCTTTGTTAGAAAATCATCCATGACACTTTATCAGGATGCCAGTCTTGATGACCAAGATCGAAGGCAAAGGTAATGGGATTAAGACGGTGGTCCCCAACATGTCTGATGTGGCCCGGGCTCTCAGCCGCCCTCCGACCTGTAGGCGGTCTTCCCCCATGTTTGATATACACTGATGACTGCTGTCAGATCCCACGAAGTTTTTTGGCTGTGAGTTGGGAGCTCAAACTACATTTGACGAGAAGGGGGACCGCTACATTGTCAACGGCGCGCATGACGCCACGCGCTTGCGTGAGCTCCTCGATACTTTCATCGACAAATTTGTACTCTGTGCCGCATGCAAGAACCCCGAGACCGAGCTGATCCTCACTAAAACTGAGGACATCATACGCGACTGCAAAGCCTGCGGCAAACGCTCAGGCTGTGACATGCGCCACAAGCTTACAACGTTTATTCTTAAGAACCCGCCCAAAAGCATGAAGAAGAGCAAGGCTAAGAAAGCATCAGGCGACAAAGACAATGGCGACGCGACTGCTGAAACCAATGGCGACAGGACTCCCGAACATGATGCTCAGGACGGCGGATCCGATGACGAGCTTACGCGTCGCATTAAGGCGGAGGCAGCAGAGCTTGCCCCGGCTTCGCAGACACAT